TACCTGCGGAGATTTTGAAGCATTTTTATATCACAGTGGGCTAAGACAAGGATTATTATCATGATGATTATTATGAACCCAGTGAGCCATCTGGTGAGATTCTGACTGGCCATCTTCCATATATTATTCAACTAAAAAATGTTAAATACTTATGCGCTTCTTTTGAAAGTACAGTACATGATTGAAATTTACCGACTTGCAGGTACATTTGCAACATAATTGAAACGGGCCACTAGAGGGCGGTAACGGCCTATAAAATTAAACTGGTGTCTATCCTTCTGGCAGAGAGGGAGGAAGGAGGGGTTCCTTTGGGTGCAATGCCTGACAATAGACTATTGAAATTGAGTTGATTTTCTGGGGCCTTTTCAGTAGAATTCAGTTCGTGAGGCCGGGAGATCCTCAGTATTGCAAGGCACTATGGATAGTCAGCCTGGCTCGTACGCAGACCAACCACTGGGACCAGGGATTCTTCCCACTCAGCTTCTGTTAACCCTGTAAGCCAAAGTCCTAATCGAGAAGGTCGTCCGAGATGGGCAAATTGTGGGAAGCTTGCCAGACAGTATCCTCAATGGCAAGCAATGCAGTTTTACCTGGTTAAACTCCCATCGGTTCCCTAACGCATACTCTGGGGTGCCCAAGCCTCGGCTGTTTGTCCACCTGCATCTAATATTTCGTGGAATTAAGGAAGCGGGGTTCGCCGACTGGTCAAAGAGCGTTTACTCCATTCCAGACAAAGGGAAATTTCCATGTGTTGATGACATACAGTAAAACTGGCATACGTCCGATCTGAATAAATCATCTAAGTTGTACACCTGCCCGTTCAAGAGTTTATATTCTATGAAAATTTGACATAACTCATACTTTGCATAAGTCATATTAAATGTATGGTCCCCCCGATACGACTTATGTGAGGTTCACTGTGTCAATGGAATTTACAGTCAGTTTGTACACTCTTTAGTATAATTATGGGCTTCTGCTTGTGTCAGACAATTGACTATATACAGAACTCCCTATGGAAACACAGTGAGAGGATTTCCTTGCAGTGTCAGAAACAGTCATTATTGAAATACCTGTTGCCAATTTTACAATCTCTGGAGGAACACTTCAGAAAATAACCATTCATAGACAGCAATGTGCTTAAAAGCAAAAGTCATCAGACAATAAAAGGACTCTAGATTACAAATTTTTGAATATTAATATCCATTACGAGTATAATTCCTTCATGCTTTACCCTAAATACGATTAGAATTCCATTCGCCAACTTCACAAATAAGCAAAACTTTGGAATTTTTGAATTTCCCAAGGTAAGTCAGTTTTCAAATCAAGTTTAATCAATTTCTATTATTCACCCTTTAAGCATTGATGAGTAGAGTTTGTGTCAGTGATGAACATATGGTAAATTATTATTTTAACCTTATCTAAAATGATCTTAACCTGGAAAAATACATTATGAAATAAATGTTGTGACAGAACATGCTCAGAAATTAACAGGAAAAGTCTTGGCCAATTGGAATTAGTGCGATGACTGGATTGCACCACATCACTGTAGGATTAAAAGAAACAAGCGTCACTGTGCGTGGTATACAATAGAGCTAAACCTCCAGTGAGTCGCATCATAAATTAAACAAGAACAACTATAAGTAAGTGTTTGAGACAGAGACAACTTTGCAATTCTTTTGTTTCTGGAGGAGATGTTCTGACAGTAAACCAAACATCATGAATACTGGATTTCCTTATCTGTTTCCTTACCCATCTCAGACAATGAAATACAGAGTGCTTTTGCTCAATAAACTGGATCCATGTAATTTTCCATTGGTTTGATAGAGGGCAAGCTGGTGAGCAGTGCTGCACCCAGCCTGTTTAATAATCCCCTTTTGTCACAGCCTTTTCCTTTATGTATAAATAATTAATGGAATATTGTTTCATTCACTGTGGAACTGAAATGTTTATCTTTAAATTAAAGCAAGGTTACCTGAACATATTTCTCCCGTATTGAGCGTATAGGTTTAAATATACAGTATATACATATTTTATATATAATATATACTGTATGTAACAAAAACAGAAGTCACTGGGAACACTCAGCAGGTCAGGCTGGTCACAGAAGTGGGGGAGGGGGAAGGTGAGCTGTTATGGTCTGAAATTGTTGAAATCAATTGGACAGTGGTATGGGAGGAGGTGAAAGATCAGGTATTACATCTCCTGCGCTGGCATGGGAAGGTGCCGGGGGGAAGAAATATACTGTATGTTAACTGGAGTTTACATTTTGTCCATCTGCGCTCAGGGCTCCCTCTGCCTCCTCATCCTCAGAGCTAACTTTCTACAAGTTGAACGTCAACAAATCTGAGGCCCTCCTGATTGGCTCCCATCAGCATCTCCACACCTCAAGCACTGATAGCATAACCATCCAAGGATGGACACTCCACCTCACTGAGCCAGTCTACAATGTTTGACCCTCAGCTATCCTTTCTACCCCATATCCATGCCATGTCCCATCTCCACAACGTTGCCCTGCTCCACCTATGTCTCACACCGCAGGCTGCCGAGACCCTCATACACGCATTCGCAACATCCAGGTTTGACTATGCAAACTCCTTGCTTGTCGGCCTCCCCAACTCCTCCCACCATAGGCTGCAGATTATCTGGAATTCTGCAGCCCATGTCCTCTCCTGCACCAAGCTCCGTGACCCTATCCCCTCATCCTCGCCCGACTCCACTGGCTTCCCATCACACAGAGGATATATTTCAAGATCCTGGTTCTCACCTTCAAAGTCATCCATGGCCTTGATCCTCCCTACTTCTTCGACCTCCAAACCCCCTACCAACCTGCCCACTCCCTCCACTAAGCGGGCTCCGGCCTGCTTCACGTTCCCCAACTCGCCCACCCCACCATTGGCGGGCGGGCCTTCAGCCACTCTGTTCTCACTCTTCGGAACCCCATCCCACAGTCCCTCCACCTTGCCCCTTCCCTTGCCTCCTTCAAGACCTGTCTCAAGACCCTCCTCTTCAACCGTGCCATCGATCACACTCCTTCCCGCCCCTGCCCTCCACCCTCCCTGATCCTGACCCCCCAGCTCAGGTCCGAAAAACTGATTGTCCAGCGCCTTGGGATATCCTCCCGATGTGAAAGGCGCTATACAAATGTAATTTTGTCATTGTTGTTGGAGTAAAATCAGTATTCCGATAGCATTAAACTAAATTACATCAAATCCATCTATATCAAATGCAAGGATTATTATTATTATAATTTATAAAATGCAATAAATCTTTTTATGGCAATGAGGAAAAGAATACCTTTGAAAAGATAATTAAAAATAGCCAAAGTATCGATTCCCTCACCATTCCAAAGCCATGACTGTATTGTTTAAAATGTCAACACCGAGATTGCACAATTGTCCTTCCTGGTATTGTAGTAAAGAGGTAGAAAACAAAAAAACTTTTGTACCAGGTAAGCTGGCTGCCCTGTTTCACTCACAAAATACACAGTCAAAACCACATTAAAGTGTATCTTGTGAAGCACTTTGAGACGTCTCAATCATGTGAAAGTCACTATATCAAATGTAAGGATTATTATGTTACATTGGAGCCAGTTCAGCTCCAAGGAAACCTCAATTACTGGCTTCCCATCCCCCAGAAGGTCGAGTTCAAGATCCTTGTCCTCACTTTTAAAGCCCTCCACGGTTTTGCTGCTCCTTACCTTGGTGATTTACTAAAACATTACCAACCTGCCTAATCCCTCCATTCGATGGGCCTTCTCCCTGTGCTCTGCCCAACCTGCTCCACCATTGGCGGTCAAGCCTTCAGTCTTTCTGCCTCCGCCCTCTGGAACTCCATCCCAAAGCCTCTTCCTCCTCACCCCCTACTTTGCCACCTTCAAGATCCAACTGAAGACCTTGCCCTCCACCCCTCTTGACTCCAACCCCCAGCACGGGTGCAAATCCCATCACTGTCTGGCACCTTGGGACGTCCTCCTGATGTGAAAGGGCACAATACAGTAAAACTCTCATAATTCTGATCTGTATAAATCGTACAATCGCCTAAGACAGTCATACATCTGCCCAAAGCCCGTGCAAGAGTTTATAATCTATGAAAGTTTGACATAACTTATGATTTGCAATAAACTGTATTAAGATGTATGGTCCCAACTGATACAACTTATGTGAGGTTTCTTGTATGCTAGCTGTACCCGTTGCAGCTACACTTGCAACCAGTTTCATTTAATCGTTATTCTCTCTTTCGCCTGGCATTTTTATTTATCCTTGAAAGGCTTGATCTTCACCTCTTAGGCATCTTTATCCATTAAGATTAAGAAAGTGTGCTATTGAACTCGTCAGCATCCCTTGTTCACATACTTGCACACATATTCTTTCGGGAGGACTCCTGTTGGAAGGCCTCAGTGGGAGGACTCCTGGTTGAGTGGACTCCTGACCCACAGACAGACATTTTGTCGTTATTAGTATAGACATAGCTCTCTAGACGGGCGTGTGACCTCTGGCCCTACTTTGTTCCAGAATACCATGCTTACCTTTTTGAGGGCTTAATTAAAGCATTTTTAAAAATATTTTTTAATATAGTATATATATGTATTAAATGTATATAATAATAGTAATAATATACATTATTATTAATATAGCTCATCAACGATAGGAGATCCCTGAAAACAAATATGCCCACGACACTCCCCAATCTATATCTTACCGATGAGGTATAAATCACGTCTCTACGTCAGTCGGTTATTGCGTTCTTGGCGGACGGACGGACGGACTTTATTAGTATAGATAAATCCAATTTGTTGTTGTTGTTACCTTCCCCCCCCACTCAGGGATTTTTTTTGGTGAGGGAGGGGGGCAATGTGAGGGGGGAAACGCCATGAGCGTGCTGACGCACGCACGGAAGGGAGGGGCGGGGCGTGGCCTGACGTCAGTGGCGCGGGCGGGGCGGGGCCTGCGTGGCGTGACGTCAGTGGCGAGGGCGGGGCGTGACGTCAGTGGAGAGGGCGGGGAAGGGGCTGAAGTTTGAGGAGCTCGAGCGGCGGCAGAGGACGAAAGTACCTGAGGCGCGACACAGCCTCGTCAAACAGCCCGTCCGACACCGCTCTGCCGCCCGCCCTCCGAACACCACAGCGCCGGGGAGACGCACACACACACACACACAGAGAGAGAGGAAGGGGGTGAAGGCGGCTGAGCAGCCAAAGTTTCATCATCATCGTTTTTTTTTCTCTCTCACCCATTTAAATCGGCGCGACGGTTGGGAGGAGGAGGAGAGGGGGGGAGTTCCGTTGCCAGGGAAACGATGGCTCGCAAGCCCGAGGAGATCAACCGGCTCACGGAGAACACCTACAAGGTGAGTGAGTGAGTGAGGGAGGGGGTGAGTGAGTGAGGGAGGGGGTGAGTGAGTGAGGGAGGGAGGGAGAGACTGACTGACTGACTGACTGGCGTGTGGAAATATATCGGTTGTCAAAACGGTTTGAACGCCGGTGTTTTCTGCGGTGTTTGTAAAGCGCTGCGACGCCGCCGCCGGTTGCGGGGGGTGTGAGGGGAGAGGAGGCGAGGGAGCCGTCGCCACCGCTTCCCCCTCTTCCTACTCCCCCACCCCCGGGCTACCGGCTCCGCCTGTCTGCCCACCCACTCACTCACTCACTCGCCCACCCACCCACTCACTCTTGTGGGGGTCGCCCAAACAGGGTTTTTTTTTTTTGCGCGACCGAAAAAAGAACGACTAACTTAACTGACTTAACTACCTAATAACTAACTCACTAACTAACCAAACTGCCTCGCTCGAGTTTATCATTCCGGTCCCGAGTTCGTGCGGTTTCTTCCCAAAACGTTTTGGTCAAATTGTTTGTGTTTGTTTGTGGTTTATTTATTTTTTTTTAAAAAAAATAATTGTATTTATTTTTTCGTCGCTGCTGCTGCTGCTCTGCTGCTGACGGTCAATCCATAGCATTAAAGCAGAGGGTTTAACCACGCACCCCCCCCCAAAAAAAAAAGAAATTAGTGACATTGGATGATTAAGAGAGAGAGAGATTGCTGGTGCGTATTCGTGCAGGTGCTCAACTCACTCACTCACTCAGTTTTGGGGAGTGACTGTTGTTGCTGTTATCAGGAACTGGCGAAAGGTCACCCAGAGGGAGAGACAGACAGACAAACAGGGAGGGAGGGAGAGAGAGAGAGAGAGAGAGGGTTGGGTCTGTGTCGTAGGGGCCAAAGTGATCCTACCTGTTTAGTCACCTTTCCAACAGGGTGTGCCCCGCAAACGTGGAGAAACGAAAGCGTTGGTTTTGGGGGGTCGTTGGTACGAAAAGCGTTTTCCGAAGTACGGAGAAACTCCGTCCGATTCATCTTTTGGGGGTGCTTTTTAAAAAGGGGGGGGAAAAAAAAACATCCCATGCGTTTTCGCACTTTTTCCTGCTTTGTCGGGGGTGAGGGGGGGGGGGATTGAGATCCCAATAAACTGCCACCCCACTGATTTGTTGGGCAAGTGCTACGTTGTCAGTGGTACGTACTACTGTCCTTCGGATGAGGCATTATACCAAAGTTCCGTCTACCATTTCATTTGAACCCTAAACATCCCATTACACTATTTGGAAGAGATGGGAGTATCCTGGCCCAGATAAATTTGGTCATTAATTTCATGACGTTTTACCTACAAAGTCCATGCACTACACTTAACAATAAAAATCCCGAGAAGAGCCTTGAAATGTTTTTGATGTGATAAGGTGCTATAACAAATACTAGGTCTATTCCAGTATATCCTACAAAAAACTCCAAATAGAATCAGTACTGTATTTAATTAAACAAGGTATTTATTAAATATTATCATGGGTACCTTTGACTCTTATGAGTGAAATTATATGTACAGTACTGTGGTTATTTGCCCTGGTTTAAATTAAGTCTATGAAATATTTTTTATAACAATTGTAATGACTGGGTGAAGAATGTAGTCTTTATGAATCGTGATGAGAAAAGTAGTGTATACAAATTTAGATCTAATATCAAAATAGTTTCACACGTTGGCTTTAAATTGACTGAGAAGGTATAAGTTGTTTAGAAATGTAGTTAACTTGTTTTTTTAGAAAACATATCTGATGGCAAACAATTAAATTGTCATTTTGGTATTTGCTGACAGCCAAGTGATTTTGCTGTCAGAAAATACCCAACGTCTTTGTATTCATCTATAATTGTTGTTACAGAGTTATTGGGTGGAATAGTAAAGAGGAGAAAGGGGAAGTCCGTTTGATTTGATGTTGAATTTACTTCGTAAACACTGTGCTGTTGAGTATTGACACAGCAAACTAGAGATATCTAATGGCAAAAAAAATTTGATTCAACAAACCTATTTAAACATGCATAATTTTCTGATGTGTAGTTCAGTGTCAACAGATGCATGAAGAAGAGATTATGTGGTGGTAGGATGAGAGGTTGCAATGTTCAGGTTAATTGGAGCACAAATGTGAGTACCATCATTTAGTATGTTGGGTATTTTGGAAATCTGCTTCTTTAGAAGTTGATCTGTTTTTTGTTTTAAATATACTGATAATTTGGATTTACTCTCTGAAGAAAGGTAGTGATGGCACAAGGATAGACTTATCGCCTGATAAACAGCTAGCATATATCTAGTAGCTGAGGCAGCAAGATAAGAAGGTTTGTTGGAAAATACTCAAGACTTGTCTGATCAGGTTTTCATTGTTTTCTTTTGGTTATGGGTGGCAATATGTTTCATGCTTTGTGTGATTATAGTCTAAAGTTTTGATTTTTTTCAGACTGTAATGGAACAATTTAATCCTGGTTTACGGACTCTTGTCGTTCTGGGCAAAAACTATGAAAAAAGTATCAGTGGTAAGTGTTTTTAATCTTTATGGTAAGTTAGTGACAACAGTAAAAACATACTTTTAGCATACATTATTTACATTTGTCATTAAGGTTACTGGCACACACAAGAGGGAACCACTTTCTTCACTTGCTTCTTGCAACCTTCAAGCAGTGCTGTTCTTGCAGGGAGGGAATGATGAAAATGTACACAAAATAGATGAGGATATTTGATAATAATACTAATGTATTTTTCTGTTATTTTGTTTTTATCACTATCTTACGAAATAATATTAAAACAATGTTTATGCTGCAGCAAGTGGTATGTAAATAGCTGTTGTGCCAATATTTTGCAAAATATATCAAATGAAACAGATGCATTCTCCCTTGCCCTCAAAATTACCAAGGCCAAGTGCACTTTTGATCAGCAACATTAACTCTTATTTTCTGTCACTGGCGGCAGGGATTCTTCCTGCTCTGCTTCCATTAACCCTGCAATCCATGTCTTAATGGCTGGGCAGATTCTAGCCAGACAAGTAGATACAATCTTGCCAGAGAGGGTTTACAAAGACACCCTGTGTGGTTTTCGCTAGTCCCGTGCGTTTATATGTGAAGGCTGCAAAATTTATGCTAGTAATTGTAATTAGCAGTACCTCAATGCAAACTTTGGGGTCCCCAAGCATTGGCTCGTGCCAACCTGCATACTTTCTGGAATTAGGTAAGAAAGGTGCATCCCTTTGGGAATGTCTCTTTAAAGGACACTTATTATGTTATAATAGATAACTCAGTTTATAAAACTCACCAATGGTATTGCAGGAAAAGATTCTAACACACATTGTTTCTAGCTACTATGGATTTCACATCAAATATTTACCTTTTGTACAACTGTTTTGGAGTGGCTAATACAAATGGCTTTATAAAGGAGTATACTGCGATATAAGTACGGTTAACTAGTTCAGTGATACAATTCTTGATTTCCTGAAAGAAATTAATAGGTTGCTTTACTGTAGAGCTAATAGTTATGGTGAAGGTTTATGGCTTGTAAAGGTAAAGAACCCATTTGTATATTTGGAGTGTATGTAATTACAATAGCAGAACCTGTTCCTTTTTGTTTTGCATTCTGTGTATATTTTTGCTGATCCAATGTTTCTAGTTTTTTAGAAGCGGTCTAATTGTGATGGTTGAATTGCTAGGGATATATAACTTATATTTGTGCCCTAGTATATTGTGTTGTGTATATATATATACATATATATATGCTATATTTTTCTTTTCAGCATTTTCACTCTAGTTCTGAGCTAAATGTACTTGAAATAGCCTAAGCTTATTCATATTGAAGTGACCACCTGTGTACCAATTATTTTGTTCTTCAGAAAATCTGATTTTCCACTAATAGTAGGGCTGACTGGGCAACTTGGAAATTGTGTTTCACAGGTGGCCATTACTGGGTTTGTTTATAGTAGAAGTCTTTGAAGTTTTCCTAAACTGCGTTGTTTATGTTTAAAAAAATATTTATTCTGAAACTTGATGGTTCAAGAGTGTCATGCAGTGTTACAAATTAAATGGTTTGAAGGTGTATGATTGTATTTCAGTTGTAAACTGCCCATAACTAACATGACTTGAAAAGAGATATTTTATGGCATTAAGAAAGTATCTGGCTGCTCCAATGAAAATGGCTTTGTTATGTTTTAATTATAAATATTACAACAGCTTCTGTCTAAGAAATTTATTTTATTGTACTTTATTTAAAATCAATTAATCTGGCACTCTAAAACATTTTTCTGGGTTGGTAAAATGGCCTACATAATATGGATCTCCCAGTTAAAATTATAATTGCCAGTAAATTGCAGACTATTATAGGCCTGCTTTCAGACAGTAAAGCTCACAAATCCTTTCATTTTATACACTCCTGGTTTCAAAACATTCCTAAAATTGTGCTTCCAATCAATTTCCGCAATCCCCCTTCCCCTCTCCATCTTGCTCTATGATCTGCACGTTCTGCTGAGTGTTCCCAGCGACTTCTGTTTTTATTATAGCCCCTTTTATAATGCAGTCAGCTGGTTTTATTGTCGTACTGACCACCTTCATAAGTGGGACACGAAAAATGGCCAACTTCCAGGTCGTCGAGTTGCAGCTGACAACCACAGTAGAAGGAAAGAGATTGAAGGGTTTTACAACTATATGTTTATCCTTTTTCCATTTAGTTCCAATGCATTGGCAAGGAAAGGTTTTCTGTGGTTTGTGTAACTGCTAACTGTTGATTAGATTTTGCCTGGACTTTCCGGAAGGTTACAGTGGTGTTCAAGTTTCTCCAATTTAAATACATCTGAGTAGCTCTTTGTCTATCAATCAGTTGATAGCGGTTGAAAAGGTCAGGTTTTGATATAAGCAGGTGTTCTGATTATATGCAAGCCTCTTTCCTTTTCTCATTTGTCTGTTTTTCCCTTTCCCGCCAGACTAAATATACTTTTGTGGAAATCCTTTATTGTATGTATTGAATATTTTTAAAAGCTGCTATGACATTAGCTAATCTTACATCTTGCCTGATACTGAAACATCTTCCGAGCAGTTTGGATTCTGGTTTCAGGGAGCCCTAATATTGTCAATTCCATATAGATACTATTGGTTCTGATGGCAGCAAGCCAATGAAAATTAGTTTAATATTTAACTAGATTGTCATCTGTTATAAAAATGAATACCATAGATGTGGGCAATGATCTTTGGCAATATTTTTCAATCTTCATGAATTTGCAGACGCCACTAGCAGAAAATGGGATTGGAGTCTTGGTGTTGGTAATTCACTCACGTGCACATTCCAAATAGCATATTTTACTTGTTATAAAGCTTGTTTACATTTCTAATTCAACTCCCAAAAAATAAGGACAACAAGAAACTGGAATATTCATTTATTATTTAAAATATTGTTGAATGTGATTGATGCATATATGGAAAAATGGATATCAAATCAACAAGGAATGCACAAACATCGGCACAGTACTATGCTTCCATATCTTTAAATATACTTTAACAAGGATGTGTTTGATGTTACAACTCAACTTTCAAGTGGTCGGCAAGTGAGAGGGCACAAATTTAGAATAATCATAAAATAAAATCAATTGTGAAGTTAGATAAAGAACCTTTATACAGATCATAGTTAGACTGTGAACTTTTCTGATGCAAACTGTTGAAGCAAGTCCATAATTTAGTAGGAAACTGGGTGGTGCTTCAAAAAGAGGAATATTAAAAAGTATGTTGGAGAGTGGAATTAAATTGGCTCGCATAGAAAACAGAAGATGGTAGGAGTCTAATTTTTTTTTTCTGTAACTTTTTTTGATCCTATTAAGGTTCTTGCCATCCACCTAACTTTCCATGTCATAATATTTTTACTTTAAAATTCATGGTAATCATTTGCATAATGTTTTAGAAAGTATTGCTTATAATGCTGCCTTGTTTTTTCAATCTTGAGGGCTATTGCGCGGGAACACATTAAAAGAAGCTAATAAGATTCCCAGAGGATGAGTGCACATTACAGAGCTTTGAGGTTCTGTTTTATCCATCTATTTTGAAGATGATGTAGAATCCACAGCCTTGACTTGGGGCTTGAAGCCTCTTAACTTAGAGGCGAGAGTGCTACTAACTTAGCCAGGCTGGGAACAGGGAGAAAGATCGGGCTTACTACAGATCTATTCCAAACCAAAGTAAATCCCTCTGCCATTTCCTTCACTGGAAATAATAATCCCTCCAAAAACAATAATAAATTGGTCATTTTCAATCTACGACTGTTTGTGGGACATTGCTGTGCGCAATTGGCTGCCGCGTTTGCCCACATACATACAGTCAATTCACTTTACAGTATATTCTATGAAGCGCTTTGGGACGTCCTCCCGACGTGAAAAGCGCTATATCAAATGCAAGGATTATTATTATTATTGAAACCCTATGGAATAGCATAATGTTTACTTAGCCTTCTGTGAAAAGGAACAAGCGGTTTATTATTAGTAATTGTAGTGTATTTGATGTGTGTTGAGTTCAGTGTTTCTTGCCTACTTTTTTAAATAGTGTAACATATCTAGGTTAATTAAGAGCTGTAATTGCTTTTCATCAATATCCAGGAAGACATTTAGAAAAGCTCAGTGTTTGGCAATTCGGAGACTTTCATCTTCATGTAGTTAATTTCGCTCTAATTCCAAACGCTTGAGTTTGTGGGTCTTTGTGATTATAGTTGTAGTTGCTTTAGGAACAGCCTAAATGTTCTTCCCATCTTTTTCTTCCCCAACCCACTTGTATTTCTTGCATGTTTTTGTAGGAACATGTTTATTGGGAACTCTGACTTTGGTGTTAATAAAGTTGCTTGTTTATGTAGACTGGCTCAGAGAAACAGAAACATTTCTATAGAACCAGACTGTACAAGCACATCTCTCACTCTGCCAATTTTTCTCTACCTTTCTTCTCTTCCCTCCTTCCCCCCCCACCCCCCTCTCTTGTCTCTCTGTCTCCACAACTGTAACCATACATTGCAACAGTATGAAAGTTGCTTTTGTGCTACACCAGCCTCCAGGAACCCAATTTAATCATGCAGCCCAAATATATCCCGTCATGGTTACCGCACATGCAAGTTCACGAATGACACAGCTGAATTTTTTCTGGACCTCAAAACCTGATTATGGATAGTTAGCTTGTGGATAACCAGTGATGTGTATGTTGGTTAGAATATTGCTTCACTGTTGATAATCTTAAACAACTGATGGGTCTTTAGCTCTGTTAAAGATCTCCCGAGGCACATTTTTACTGGTGTGACACTGGTATAGTGTCAGATCTGCAAAATTTACATTCTCTTATTTCCCACTAGTTTTCTTGCCAGTGTAGCTAAACTTAAGATAAGAACTGGTTTGGGGTTACCAAAGTAGATGGAAGACTAGGAGAAATGTCTAGCTAGCATAATGGCAGAATCACTGAATAATGCACAAATTGGCTGCCACGTTCGTCCACAAAACACACAGCCCTCTCTTAAAAAAACAAAAGAGACATCT